TGACATGACCACCTAACAGATGCATACTTATCTCGTTCTGCTGTTTATGTACAGCACTGCAAGATTTCGCTCTCCTGGCCACATTTGCACATTACAGCGCCATAGACTTCCTGGGGACCATCTTTGATAGTCTCTGGCCTCAGGACACAGAGCATAGAAGTCTATGGGGCACTAATGCGCAGGAGCGGCCAGATCACTGGTTGTAGGCAAACGGCGGAGCCACAGCTGTTTTGAAAGCAGTAAATATGCATCTGTGGTGGTGGGCTTAGGTAAGGTCAGCGTAAGAGGGCTAAAAGGATATGTGCACTTTAAAATAAACCCTATTTTTAGGTTTGTTTGTTTTATTTGTCCCATCAGTCTCCCATTGGAGATTTTTCTTTACTTCCTATCCTGTAGACACAACAGGAAATGAGAAGAAGTCTCTACCAATTGAGGGGTTATAGTCAGTCACCTAAATAAGTGTCCCCATTTGCAAGATTCCATCTTTATTCTTGGGACAACTCAAAATTTTCAAGTTGAATTCCTACAGAGTGTATGGATCCACTTTTTTTTTTTTACCTGTGAGCAGCATTGACCTGTGAAGAGAGATTTTATTAATAAAACCTGACCTCTATGATGCTGTGAAATTCTTATGATCGAGTGAGTGATTACCACCACCCACTAATAATATTATTACAGTTATTTATATTGCGCAAACGATTTTACACAGGGCTTACAATCTAAGGTCCCTATCTCTCATGCATACATATGAGGGCCAATTTAGACAGGAGCCATTTAACCTTCCAGCATATCCTTGGGAGTGTGGGAGGAAATCGGAGTACCCGGAGGAAACCCAAACAAGCACAGGAAGAACATGCAAACTCATTGCAGATAGTGACCTGGCCAGGGTTCGTAACGGGGACCCCTAGAGCTGCGAGGCAGAAGCTCTAACCACTACCTCACTGAGCTGCCCAAACTTCTACGTTGATGGGGGTTTTCTGGTGAAGGTATGTTGTACGTCAGTTCAATACAAAAGAACTTAACAATGGGTTGTTCTTCAGTACACATTCCACAAATATTTCTTTGACATGATTGCTTTACAACCTTTCTGCAGAATTGTCAGCTTTACTTTCATGCTATGAATCTTTACCATTCTCCACTGCAATTCTACCACATCTCAAAAGTGTTAGTAGACCAGTCAGCAGATCTGAATCCATCAGAAACGGGTGTCATGCAACTTATTTCATCTCCAGTTAAAATAAAACAAAAAAATCCCTTCACACATCTAATCGTTTTTGCCTGGGGAACTTGTGTAAAGAACTCTTACTTACCTGATCCCATCTCCCTGTAAGAGTGGCACCTGCAGCCTCTTCCCTCCGGTGGTCGGAGGCCCATTGATGTTACCAATTCTAACGCAGGGTCCATAGCAATGCATTGTACTTGAGGTTAGGGCTGCAACAACAAATCAATAATAATCGATTATGAGAATAGTTGGCAACTATTCTCATTATCGGTTAGTTGGTTGGGAAGGGGGGAGAGAGAGTTAATACAACCAATAGTTGAAAAAATAATCGGGCAACTAATAGATTATGAAAATAATCGTTCGCTGCAGCCCTACTTGGGGACATTGAGGACCATTTCAAGAGCTGGAGGGGACAGAGGCAAGTGCCGACTGCTGGGGGAGTGGGGATCAGGTACGTAAGACTGCTTTACAGGATCGCATAGACAAAAACAAGGCGTTAATCCTTGCAGTGCTGGGTTCAGTTTTTGACTAATATAGTGTCCCATTTGTCCTGTACTGTCAAGTGATGTTCAATCTCCTGGCTTATCAAATAATGAGCAACATAAGGGAGGTTTGCTAGAGGCTTTCTCCGATATTAGTTTTACTACTAACAGGAAGTCAACAGAGTGTAGGAGATGAAGCTAAACTCCAGGCCAACCGCTAAATACTCAAATGCAATCCAGAAAAAGGTTCTTTACCTGACGAATTATTTGTATTTCTATTTACCAAGTCCTGAGATGTACACAGCTCTGCCACACACACATCCCTGTCTTGGAGCTGGGGTTTTTTGTTTTTTTGGTCTTGCCTCTCCTTAAGGCTGCATTCACACATTTAGCAGTTTTCTGCGTGAATGCGCGGAAACGCGCAAAACATAAAAACGAATACATTCCAATGCAGCTTGTTCAGACCTGCGTGGCACGAAAACACGCATCACGCAAAAAAATACAATCATGGTATTCTGGGCGTGTGACGCAGAAAACCGCGCTGAATTTCAAACCGCTATGTGTGAATGGAGCCTTAGCCTGTGACTGGATAGTAAAAGGAGAAGCAGTAGACAGACTCCTCTGTCTTTCTGCCCTCTACTCCTATCTGTATGGGCTTTGTTTAAACCACCTCTGCAGCAGACTGATTGGCTCTGTGTGTTGTACAGGTGGTTCCAAGAGGCTGAATACAATGCTTAATTTCAGGTACCTACATTGCTTGCATTCAAAATTAATTTAACAGTGTATTAATGAATACAGGTCTGCATTAATTTCATCTTTCTGGCTTCAGTTCAACTTTAAGTGCATCTGTCCATTGACTATTTTTTAATAGCCTTCTGAAGATTTTACTTGTTTGTTTTTTTTATATTGCTGTGATGTAAGCTTACCAGATCATTTGGTACATTTCTATAGGGCTTTTGCCTCCATTAAAATTAAGCAAGATTCTTTTTTCTCCTTGCAGAACTGGTGTTCCCGCTGTTATTCCCTTGTCCTGTCATTGATGGGAAATCAACTGGATCGCATCACCCACCTGAATTACAGTGAGCTGCCAACAGGGGACCCTTCTGGAATAGAGAAGGACGAGTTGCGAGTTGGGGTGGCATACTTTTTCTCGGATGAGGAGGAGGACCTGGACGATAGAGGGCAGTCCGAGCGGTACACTGTGAGGGACTCAAGTCCAAGCGAATGTGAGGGGCATCTTCTGCTCAACGAAATTGAGTTCTCAGCCTTTAGTTGTCAGGAATGCATCTTTTCCAAGCTCAGGGGAAGCCAGGACCTCAGTGTCTACCCTATGCAAGGCTTACTGACCTTCTGCCAACCAGGAGACCTCCTGGAGCTGCTCTTTATTTGCCCTGCTGCAGAACATCCTCCTCCCCCATCACCTCACTGGGCAGTCTACGTTGGTCAGGGACAGATCATTCACTTGCACCGTGGGGAGATCCGCAAAGACAATGTTTTCGAGGTAGGCGGAGGGTGCATGGGCAGGGTGGTGAGTAGCTGGTATCGATACAGACCCCTGACTGCTGAGCTGGTCCTTCAAAACGCATGTGGACACCTTGGCTTGAGAAGTGATGAGATCTGCTGGACTAACTCTGAGAGCTTTGCTGCCTGGTGCAGGTTTGGCAACAGGGAGTTCAAAGCTGGTGGGGAGGTCCATTCGGGCAATCTTCAGTATTTCTTGAAGCTCCACTTGGAAGAAAACAATATTCATACCATGAGGTTTCACAGCCTGGAGGAACTTATACGGGAGAAGCGAAATTTGGACGCTAGTGGGAAATTAAGAGTCATGAAGGAACTCTCCATGATGGAGAACAAAGAGTGAGAACATGTAGACCTCTCCTTGGTGGAGAGACCGTGATGACATCTGGGGATGGCATCTCCATTCCCAGACTTGCCAAATGAGGTTGCACATTTTTGGGACACCTTTCTAAGGATCATGTCAACATTCCTAAAACCAGCATTACACCATAGCCACTATTTGTTTTTTTGGCTTTTACAACATGGTTATCACCAAGTATCTAAAGAATCAAAAAACAAAAAAAGCAACAACAAATCCTGAGTATGTTGGCTGTAGTGTTGATGTCCTTTTAAGCATTTAGCGACACGCTAAATAAAATTTCAAATTGAAATTTTTTTATTTTCATGGCTTTAATCCATGACTGTTTAACCACAGAGCCAATAAATTGAATTTATCTATTTGCAGATTCTGTTTTACTTTTGTTCTTTTCATTTTGACATGTGTGGTTTGCAGTGGCAAAGTGCTAAAACCAACCCCGCTCAATGACCTTGAGTGTTGTTGATTGGAGCACAATGGTTTTGATAGTGGGACCAGGCTGGAGATCTAGACCACTGCTATTGCACAACAGTCCTGATTGCCAACGTGCTGCCAAGAAAAGGGATTTTGGCACTGGCTCGTAGCAGTATTACATAAAAAATAAATATATGAACACGTACTTGCCTTTTCCTTAGTCTGACTTCATGCCACTAATAAATAGTAAGGTTCAATTGGGCTTTAAAGCTAATATGAGATTTTAGAGTTTAGGTTTACATATACTTTACATCTCTGTGTAGTAAGTCTATTTCCTTCTAAACTGGCATACTTAAGGCAGCTTATTACTTCAGGCCCTGCAGATAGGTGGTAAATAAACAAAAGATGAACATCTCATGAGGTCAGATGTATTGCTTCAGTCATGTATACAGTGTGGTTCCAACATAACTGGTTCATCATTGGGGATCTCATAAAGCAATCCAGCTGACACAGCCGAGAAGTGCCTTCTTGTCTGTACATTGGCAAGGAAATATCAAAATAAAAACCAAATGCATTTTTTGTAAATGTCATGGGGAATGAAATGCCCTCAAGTGTTGCTGGGTAATAATATTTAGTGTTTTGTTCTAATGCATTTCCTCTTGTTTACTGCAATATTAGCATTTTTAGGTTATAAATAAAATGTACCACAGTACTCGGAAGAATATGCCAAGCTATCATAAAATCTATGTTTATGCATCTTTTGTGATGTAGTACAAAGCTTGGGTATTTGTAAACCGTTCTAAGCAAACAACCTTTTTAAAGCGAAGGTCACTTACGGGCTTGTAAGGATGGTTGTATGTGTGTATGATCTAGCCACCCTTAGGGCGCGCTATCTGCAGAGCATTGCTAGAACTTTAAGTTAAACGAGAACTATGGGGTCAGTGTTTTTCCCCATAATTCTCCTTAGGGTAACGGGAGGACACAAACTAGCGTCCTCCCGTTAACCTATGCTCCCCTCCCCCATCCATTCCGCCAGTCAGTGCTGGCAGAGCGGGAAGAGGGGAATCCAGCCCCTCCCCCTGTCACGGCAGAGAGCCGTGAAAGGATCGAGAGGTGAGCGAACCCGGTATGTGTTCGCTCACCTCCCGATCTACTGAGCCGACCTGTGACAGTCTCATTGTCACAGGTCGGCTAGAACTATGAGGTGAGTGGAAATCCCTCATCTCATAGTTCTCCTTTTAAGCTCTGCGTTGCATTTTAGTTTTGTTTTTTTTAGAAATATATGTTTTTATGGTCAAACGTTTGTGGACCCTTGACCATCACACCTACTATCAGAGTAATTGCTTTCTAGAAAGACATTTTAGACATGGTGTGATTCCTTTCTTTGTGGCAGCAGTTTGGGGAAGGCCCTTTTCTGCATGACTGTACCCCTCTTCACCAAGACGGGTCCCTGGAGACATCGTTTGGTTTGAGAGAGAACTCGATTTGGCCTCCACCCTACTGAACACCTTTTGGGATGAATTGGAAAGTCACTTGCAAAAGTCAAGCCTTTTTGTCCAACGGCAGTACCCATTTAGGCTGAATGAGCACAGACACATTCCAACATTTTCTAGAAAGCCTTCCTGGAAGAGTCAAGTCCATTATAGCTATAAGTGGTGAAGGAGGGACTCCATATGTACTGCTACGGTTTTGGAATAGGATGTACAACAAGATCATATAGGTGCGGTGGTTAGGTGACCACAAACTCTTGGCCCTATAGAATAAGTTCCTGTGCTGTTTTTCTGCAGTCGGGTATGTTTTTATAGACTCCCTCAGGTTGGAAAAACAGGTGATTTGTTAGGTTGGGAAAACGGGCAAATTGTGGTAGTTTGTTTGTGCTGCTAAAATTTGTACGCAAATAATTGCTGGCGTTTTGACTACACATAGTTGCAGGCAGTAGCAATTGATTGTACAAATTTGGAGCATTGTGTGATCACTAGCAGTTAATCGCTCCTACCTGATATACTCTATGGCACTGGGGTCCTTGGTTCAAGTCACGGTCAGTCTACATGGCGTTTGCATGTTCTCCTTGTGCTTGTATGGGTTTCCTCTGTGTACTCTTGTTCCACCAACACTGGTAGGTTATATGGCTCCTGCTTACATTGGCGTGTGTGTGTAAGCTGCTTGAAGGCAGGGAGTGATGTAAAGCATAGAAATGAATCAACAGCAATTATAGTAGCATGGTCACACTTAACAAAAATCACCGCTATGCACACAGCCTTAGGAGTGAATGGTTGCATGTGGTAACATAGCACTATCAGAGGGCTTGACAAAGCCAGGACATGTGTAGTGCAATTGTCTTTTTTTTTTTGTACGTAGGTGCACCTGACTCCGCAAGCACCAGTTTGTGGGGATGGGGTACTTTAAATTCTTTTTCGGTATTTATAATTTTCTTTTAGTTCTTCCCTTTTTTTTTTTTTTTTTTCTTCATTGCTATCAGAAGAGGGGGGGCTCACAAGCCCCCTATGTGATGGATCATTGTAGATGGCAGGTTCCCTTTAAGCTGACATTAGGGGTCTATTAGAATCTAGTGCCACCTCTCCATAGAGCTGACCTGTCCCTCCTCCCCGCTGGGCGCCGCCTGCTGCGGTCTGTGATACAGGCGGATGATGTCTGCTTGATGCAGGCGTGGAGAACAGCGGGGATCGAAGTGGACATAGACTGCAGCATGCATCGGGCTCTCAGCAGGGTGGAGCAGATCTGATGAGGCAGTGGTGGGGGACAGTGCGCAATTTCTAGTCGCCATGGTGACCAGTGCCTGAGATTTCACATTGCAGATATACAGCTGTGAGGTTGTATGCACAAAAGTATCTAGAGCAGGGGTCTCAAACCTCCGGCCCTTCAGCTGTGGTGAAACTACAAATCCCATGATGCATCTCTCTTCAGGAGTCATGTCTGTGGCTGTGAGAATCTTGCAATGCCTCATGGGATTTGTAGTTCCACCACAGCTGGAGGGCCGGAGGGTTGAGACTCCTGATCTAGAGACTCTCACATACCAGTAAATTAGCTACTGTTTGTTAGGAAGAATTCTAGATAAAAGGTAAATTTTTCAGGGTACTTCATAGGCACAATTAACATTTCTAGATGTTCCATATAAGATACCGTACCAAATTTTCACTTTGAGTTCAGTTCCAATTTAAACGTAAGCCACCCTGTAAAATAAGATGCTCTAGAATTACCTTTCCAGCCGTCCATGTCCGAAAACTGCAACGTTGCAGATTTCTGAGTGTATTGAATACCTGCTCACTTCCCACATGCTGTGGTTACTGCAGGGATGTAGAAGCCAGCAGGAGGAACCATATTGCTTGGTGTAGGGGGGGGGGCAGTGATTCCATACCATCAGCAGATGCCTGCTGCCAGAGATCTACAATGCAGTTAAGTTTTGAGACACGGGCTGCCAGAATTCTAAAGTTTCTGCTACATTAAGGCCTTATTCACACAGCGTCAAGTCGGGCTGTAGAAGTCGGCCTGTATCGGGCCGTTCCTGGAAGGGACAAGAGCTGCGTGTGGATGGATCATGTCTGCATCCAAGCACGGATACCCAGACCTGCATGGATGTGCAGACAACGTGCAGACAACGTACAGCCGCGTCCTCCCATAGGGAAGAACAGGCTGCTGCACGCAATCACACGCAGCACCTGTCCCTCCCGCGAACAGCCTGATACAGCCGTGCACGCCGCACGGACGTGTACGGCCCGACTTTGCGCTGTGTGAATGAGGCCTTACCTGGTGGCGTTAGTTTAACTTTAGTTAACCTTGAAATCTATTAAAGGGACACAGTCTAGCCCACAGCTAGTCTACTATGCGGGTACAGCTGTATTGATTTCGGCCACCCCACTGCCTAAAGTAACGTGTCAACAGAAAGCTGAAATGACTGAACAGTGTTAGTAATTCCATCCACATTTTCTAAGGAATTTGCCCTTTGAAGGCTGCAGTAGTCTTTGTCTGTAAGACAATCATGAAACAAATACATGCAATGTCGTATAAAGCATCCATGATGTCCAATGGGCAATTATTTTAGAATTTGCTTGTTATGGGGTTGTATCTAACAATATAGAATCAAATATGAATATTTCTAATTGATGTAAATCCATATTTCATGAACCAGGAGATGCTACATAATTTATATTTACATCCGACCCATACTCTAATGTTAAAATTAATTCTCCAGGCAAATAGCTAAATGCACAGTTTAAAAACTTGTATACTGTGTTATAACCTGGCATAGGTTTTGTCATTCTGTTCAGGCAGGCTTGTGATTTAGGCTCCTGCCACAATGCACAGCCAAGCAGGTGACACACATTTCTTGGATTAGCAATGCAGCTTCCATGTCACTTCTCTACCCTCAGCCTGTTTATTAATTTCTTAATAAACATGAGCAGCCACTATTTTAGTGCTCTTCCTGGCAGTGCAGTATGCAGAGCTATGTAAATCACAAGATTGCCTAAGGTGAATTAAAAACCCTTTGGCAGGTAGAACAGTGAACATCTATATATTCTAGTTATGGATTCCCACTCTGTCTTAAAGTTGCATTAACATTTGTGCTGCAAAGGTAAAAAAAAAAACAAAGCGAAACATATAGAGCAAATAAAGTCTCTCTGAAGAGAACACTGCCCCAGGATTCCTCCTATTGTAGTTATGTAAGCAAAGGCCTAGGCAGGCTGGTCATGTGATGTCTACTGAAGGAAATGTAACCAAAAGCTCAGGTGGTTGTCATGTGATCTCTGTTAAATGAAATGTGTCCAGAAGCA